TTGAGTGGAATTTTAATCAAGTAATTTACAATTATTTTAACATTTAATAAAATATTTTAAAAACCGCACGCAGTTGATATAAAAGTTTGAATTGCAAAAAAATTAAATATGTTCATTATTTTCAAGTAGAAAAAATTTGGATTAAAAAAAAAGTTTAAATCTTTTTAAGCTAACATTTTAATAAAATTATTCATTATTATTCAAATATATAACAAAAATACTTTCTTTTAGTTTTAGATTTTTAGCTTAAATAATTATTTTACGGGGGTTTGTTAGGTTTTAAAATTGTTCTATAAATTTAAAAATATTTATAACTGTTAGACGTATTTAAAGTATTTAAGAGTAATCTCAAGGAAACATATTTAAAATTGGTAAGCACAAATAAAAAAAAAATAAAAGGAATAATATTAAAACGTATTCAATAAAAACTTGATTCAATAAACTTGATTCAATAAATTAAAATTAAAATTAAAATTAAAATTAAAAAACTTGATTCAATAAAAAAGTACAGTTATTAAAATTTTTGTAAAAAATAACTCAAAAAAAATTAATTAAATAATAACAATGACTTTTTTGTTAAAAGCTACAGAAACTCTTTTACTTATTTTACCAAAAATTATAAAAACATTAAAAATCTATTTAAAACGTTCGTTAAAGTTTTTTAGTAATACGAGTGATTGTGCTTATCAACCGCTTTGTGAAAATAAATAAATAAAAAATTATTATATAAAATCGCTGGTAAAAATATTAGCTATTGCACAGTTTTTAATCGTACAATATTAAAATTTCCAGTTTATTACTCGCTGACTTTTTAAAAATAAAAAATAATTATTTTGAAAAACTTTAAATTACATATTTGAGAAAAAAAAATTAAATATTAACATTAAATAAATGCAAAGCCAAAAAAACAGCATGCCAAACAAAATTTCTTTCTAACAACATTATTTAAGTCATGCTCAAAGGCCAACACTCTTTTTTATTTCTAATAACTTCTATTTTTTATATTAAAATTTTGTTCCTTCACCTGTTTCCGGTTTTAAAAAAAATAATACCTTTTACAATTTTTATGGCAAATATCATTTTTTTTCATAAAAAAATGCTGAGATTCGGCAATATTTCCTCTGGGACTAGGGGCTAACACTGCCTTTTTTTCCCTAAAATAGCCCTTGATATATATATATGAAAATGGGGCTATTATAGGAAAATAATTTGGGCAGCAGTAATCCTCCTGTCAGCAACAGCTGAAAGGAAATTTGGCTCTCTTCATAAGTTAGAAGTTCTGAGTTTGATCCCCACCTTGTTCTTAGTAGTGCTGTGTTCAACTTGTTTCTCAACGCAGCAGCTTTGTTCATAAAACTTTGTGTTTCAGAGTTAAAGAGTTGGGAGTGGGTTATAGCTACAATAAAGTAGCCTCTTCAACTGTAGTGGCCCTCTTGGCCTTGGGTAGGTAAATAGCCTAAAAATAGTTTTAAAAAATACCTTAATCAGGTTTGTGTATTAAGTTGTAAATTATGGGTTTGTAATGAGATTCCTTATTTGAAATCCATTACCCTAAATGTGTAACTTATTAAACCTGTGATTTTATTACATAGATGCACTTCTTGCTGATTTGCAGAATTCAACACCTCAGCGTAGCAATAAAGGTTCTTCAATTTCTATAAAAGATGAGTTTCTGTTACCTCAAGCTAAACAAGAGAAAGTTAATACTTCAAGTATGTTAAAAGTTTAAAAATAAAAATGTAAAGTAAAATTTGAAACCTAAAATTTTTTTTTTTATTATCACTGTGATTGCTATTATGCTTTTGTTTATTTATTTAATTTTTTTTTTAGTTAATTTATTATTTACTTGAAATATTTGTCATTGTTTCTCTGTAAAAGCTACTTTATTTATTTACTTAGTTATTATATATTTATTATTTTTTTCTTGGTTTTTATAATTCTACTAAGTTTTACTTAAATTACAGCTTGAATATTATATAAAATGGAATTTTATGCTTTTAATTTTAGACACTAAACGAACTGTAGGTGGACCCACATTTACTTCATCAAATGGGGCAAGTGCTAGCAGTGGTAGGTTTTTTTAAATTACTAGTAGCGCTTTAAATAAAAAGTGTAACTAATAAACTGACATTTTTATTTAATAGAATCAATAAAATTTTTTTTTTTTTTTCTTTAGTGGAAGCATTGTTAGAAGAACTTGATAACACAGTTTCTCATTCAAAAACCACTATGCAAAATCGTCCTGTTCAAGGAAGAGCCACTCTTACTGATCAAACTGTTTCAAAAACTGGTAAGCTTTTGTTTTTAAATCAAAATTTTACTTCAAAACTCAAATCTAACAACTATATTTTGATTCATCCTGTTTTAAATATCATATAACTTACTCAGGTTTTTTGAACTCCATACTTTTACTTGAAGTCTAATAATTACTGTTGAAATCATCTACTGTCAATATCTATTGTATTAATTATGCATCATCAAGCTACTATTTTGAACAAATTTGGTATTAAGTGGCAATAAAAAGTATGCGACCCATCTGATCTTTATGAAATAAAGAGTTTTATAAACTATTAGCGTTTCTATGAAACCAAAAATATTTTTCCTAATTCCCAAATCTATGAGTGAAGGTGATAGTGAAAGTATAAATCATTATTTTAAGATTATTTAGAAAAATGCTGACATCATAGTAATTAAAGCCATCTAGAAGTTCTTAATTATAAAATAGTAAAGTTGTTTAATTTAAAGCCATTTTAATTTCAATTTTTTTTTGAGGTGGTAGTTATTATTTTTAATCTAAAAAATTATTGATTAATAAAAATTAAATATATATTTAATAGTTATTATTCACAAAATTAAAAAAAGAGTTTAAATGATTAAAAAAGTTATGTATAAATCAAATTTATATGTTGGTGAAAAATTTACGGGATGCTCATTAAAATCTTCGAAACACTTTCCTTTTTTTTTGCTTTTTAACAGCTAAAATATTATTTGAATTATTTTTAAAAAATTGATTATTTAAATAACTTTTTTACAATATTTAATAATTATACAATAATATCATACTTATACAGGGTTGGTCGGGAAGCGGGAGCGATCGCTCTCTGATTGCTGACGTAAATAATATTTAGTTGCGAAAAGCTGGCCAGATTTTTTAGTCGTTTTGAGAACATTTTAAAAAGCAAAAAAAAAAGCGACAAAGATTAATTGGACCAATGAGAGACAATTACAAAAAAAAAATAGGCAAATAAAATATCTTTAAATGCGAAAACACTTAAAGCTAAATAAATTACATTTAGAACAAATATTTTCAAAACATCGCTCTTTTATAATTTTTTTTTTATAAAATTAGGCGATGTTCTTTATATAAAGTAACAACTTACGATTGTTTAAAAGGAAACAAATATTCTTTATTTAACTAAGTTAGCAAGTTTTAATTTTACTTAAGCTAAATTATTTTATAAATAAAAAAGTTAATTTTTTTAATACCTATTTTATGTTTCTCGTAGTTTGAAAAGTTAAACATATTTGAAGCGATTCTTCTTAGTAAGATAAACAAATGAAATAATTAAATCATTGAATTACTATAGGAATTAAATTATCAAGATAGAAATCAACTAAAAAGGATAAAAATATATAATGACCAGGAAGCGAAACTGCTTCACAATATCGCTGATGATGTTTAGTAAGTAGGTTTTTTAATTTTAATTAGTATTTAAAGCAGAAAAAAGTATAAAGAGTTTTAAGAATAGCAACTTAAGTGAAAATAATTAGAGTTAGTAAACCAATATCTAGAAACTTTTCTTTATATCTAATTATTTGCTATATATATTTGTGTTCTGTCATGACCTCAGGCGCGATACTTGTTCATCCGCGAGTTACTTTGTATGCGTTGTTTGTGTTTAGTAACCAGAAACTTCTAATGTTTGTTACATAATTAGTTTTATTAACTTTAACGATTATAACTTCATTGAAAACGCAATTATTTTTGTAAATCTTTGTTTAAATCATAAAAATTGCTTTAAAAGATACATTATGATAAAAAACAAATACACAAAATTTCATTTACATAAAGAATACAATCTCTTTTAAATTAAAAAATAAGAATGTACTAATAAAATCTATGATTTATAATAAACTTTTAAAATTTTATCAATTTAATTAATATATATTTAAAACATTTATTTTTGTAAACAAATAATATATATTCTTAAAACAATGCTAGAAATCTCAAAAAGTAACAAATCGTGAATAATACAATTTTTAAAACATTTAACTGAATACTCTAGAACTTTATTTTGCTTAATCAGTGTATTTTTTGAACCAATAGAATTAGTTTGTTTGTTAATTTGGCGGGTTTTTAGTGTTCGCAAATATTTTTTAATTCTTTCGCACAAAGATGTTTTGAGAACATTCAAGTTTTTTATGTTTCCATGTATGTCCGTAAAACAAAATTTTTTGTTTCGTACATAAACTTAAATGTTCTCAAAACGACTAAAAAACCTGGCCTGTTTTACGCAACTAAATATAATTTCTGTGGTCAGTATTCGAGAGCTTATAAATATTAAAAATCTCAAAATATACATATCTATTAAATTAATAGATATAATTAAATAATTAATAGTATTAATTATTTATACCAAACATAGTATAGTTGCCCATTCAAGCATTTTTTAACAAGGAAGCTTTTGACAAAACAAAAAAAATATTGCTGATGACAAAAGATATAAGTTTAATAATAATTATAACAATATTTCTTTATATAATTGCCGAACTTAGTGTTAGTAGTATAGCTTGATTTTGCTGATTCTGAAGATGTTTGTAAGTTTCTTCAAGATGCTTCACGCATAAAATATGAAAATTATAATGTTAACATTTACAGATAATAATATTTTTATGTTGGAAAATGTTGTGATTTTAATGTGCGTCAATATTTTGTCAATAATTAGCTTTGCTAATTATTGACAAAAGTCATATGTTACATATTTTTACTATTATAACGTTTTGTATGATGACCATTAATTGTTTACAAAAGTCACAAGTTGTATTTTTAAATGCTATATATAGTGAACATTATAAATATATTATAATGTTCACTATATTACTTATCAGCAATCTCATCGTTTTTGTAAAAACGTTGAGATTGTTGATAAAAAATAATAAAAACAAAATGGCTTCTTAAATTAATATAAACATTTTAAAAATTGGCTTCTTAATGTGTGGCACAACAAGCTAACCGTGCATGTCTATATCTCCACAATATGAAGATGGATAGTCAATGCGATTTATTTGGCAGTTGACTTTTTTTTTCGTGATGAACAATAATACTTCAGATCGACACATAGCGTACTTGCTTGCTACTCTACCGTTGAAGATTTACAAGACCATGGAGGAATTAACAGCACCTGAAATACTAAAGGGCGTTTCGTACAAAAAGTTGTTGACAAAACTGGAAACGTTAGAAAATAGGAAATCATCGTTTATCTCACGATATGAATTTGGGAAAACTTATCATGGCATTGATGAATCAATACAGACGTTTGCGCATCAAGTGATACCAGCAGCTCAAGAATGCAAGTTCATGCCTTCAGAGAGAGATGGCAGACTTTGTGATCAATTGATTATTGGGATTAATGATGGTGCTGTTCTGAGTGCCATTCTTCAGGGAGAAGACGCGTTGAGCTTTGATAATTGTGTCAAGATTGCATCTGTGATTGTACAAACTAGATTAGATGCGGCATGGCTATCTGAAAATGAAGAAGTAAATGCAAGTTACCAAACAACTGGGGCTGTAATGTCAAGTGATATACGAAGAAAGAAATGCGATGTTTCAACTGCAAATCATTAAATGTACCTCTTTATGCAAGAAATGCTTGCATAAACATGCTGCGAAGGACTGCTACAAATGTCGACAAAGCCAGGAAAACTTAATTGGGACCAGTTCGCATTAGGTATTTCTACAAGAACTCGAAACAATATTACCTACTATCAACTTATATAATAGATGTAATAAACTGAAGAAAAGCTACAGCGCTTGTGGATACTGGTTGCTCGCAATCAATCATCACCAAGAAGTTACTACAATCTGACTACAAAGTGATTCGTGTAGTGAATGTTGCAACAATGGATGGAATAATTCAATGTGAAGAAGTTGTTGCTAAAATACACCACCCAACCAACGGATGCTTGGTGGATGCATTGGTGTTATGTGTGGATGAAGTAATAAACAAGTACAACATGATTATAGATATGGATCTAATAAAGTCGTGTGATGAACTGAAAATCGGTACTGGAAAATTGAAATTCTGTAATTCTCTGATTAAGTTATCATTAACACCTCGTGTTGCGACAATTGAAATTGGAACAAGCAAAACTTATTTTGATTGCAAAAAATGGATTGTAAGTTGGGAGTGGGAGAATGAACCTAAAATGAAAAACAGATCAAGTCAGTATATACGCATCTAACCAATATGGTGAAGCCTTTGAGAATGAAGTTAATGAATGGATCAAAGAAGGCATACTCATCAAATATGACAATAAAATTATGGGAAAAGCTAAAGCATTACTATCATTGATGTGCGTCATTCAAGATAATAAAAAGAAAATAAGACCGGTGCTTGATTATTGCGAACTTAACACCTATGTAAAAGCCTCTACAAGGGATGTGGATGTCATCAACAATGCAATGAGGGACTAGAGACTCATGAGTAAAAATAGCAACGACTTGGTGGTGGATCTAAAAAGAGCATACCTACAAATTCATGTGCATAAATGACATTGGCCTTATAAAACTGTAATTTACAAAGATCAACAATATGCGCTTACACATTTGGGTTTTGGTTTGAACCTTGCACCTGTGATGATGAGCTCAGTTCTTCGATATGTTCTCCAACAAAATTCTGCACTTGCAAAATCAACAAGAGGACACATTGATGACACCTTAGCAACCTATGGAAATGGAAGAAAGCTGGTGGCACATATGAAGAAATAGGGTCTTCACGCAAAAACACCTGAATATTTTGGCAAAGAACCAGTTTGTGCACTAGGATTAGAAATAATAGTAAATCCATCTACAAAGAAAATGTTTTGGAAGAGTGGACGCGAGAATCCCATTATTAAAAGTGTGCTCACCAAGAGGGAGATAATCTCATTATGTGGTAATCTGGTTGCTAATCTACCAGTTGCTGGATGGTTGTGACTTGCATGCAGCTTTATAAAGAGATGTACAAACGAAGCAGGCTGGGAAGAACCTATTATGAATAAGTAGGTTAATGAAGTGATGCAGGAGGTTATATATAAAGTCATCAAATGCGATCCAGCAAAAGGCGTATGGAATGTCAAACCAAATGCATCACTAACTGTATGATATGATGCAAGTTTGCTGGCAAAAAGAGTTGAAATAATGCAAGGTGACAAAAAAATAGAAGATGCGACTTGGCTTCAACCAAAGTCTGATGCAATGCATATCAACATGGCTGAATTGGATGCATGTATTGAAGATCTCAATATGGCATTGAAATGGAACCCAAGTGATGTCACTATCAAAACTGATTCTCATAGTGACGAAGGCTTCAAATATTTGGAAAATTGGTAAAGGATTATGCCATAAATGTAAATGTTACATGGGTAACAACAACAAAAAATGTTGCATGATGAATTCATACGAGTGCCAACAATATGGATAAAAAACAAAGTTGCAACGCAAAAATGTAATATCATTTATAAGCACAATAATCAGCAGATTAAATAATAGGTTAATAAATAGCACACATGGCAGTTTCCAAGACTATGGAGTTATGCTCACAAGCTGGTATACACGTTAACAGAAACACAGTGAACCAAGTTGTCGCTGAATGGCATGAATGCAATTCAATTGATCCTAATGTGATTTCATGGGATAAATCTTGCTGTCAGCAAAGTGTGGGAAAGAGTAGCCTGCGATGTTACTCATGTTGATGCGTCGTTATATCTTACCTGTATTGATTGTGGCAGATACACGTTGTAGGCACCATTAAGCGATAAAAGTGCAACAATGGTTGTTTAACCATTAGAAACAATATGGTCATCGCTTGGACCTCCTTCCAAAATTCTCCTAGATAACTCTAAGTCATTTAGATCTCAGACAATGCAAGCTATGGCATCAAAGTGGGAAATAATAATTATTTATCGAGCTGTTGAAAAACCATCGGGAAATAGAATTGTTGAAAAAGTTCATTGGACGGTAAAAAGAACAAATGCAAGAGCATGGAATGTGGGATACCCATGTCTGTCTTTTTAATCTACAACGTACCATCAAAACATGGCACACCTTTTGGAATCTTTTGCCAACAACACAAACGCGTCTAAATCTTGGATTGACAAAGTTGAATCAACACAAAAATATGACGCTGTGTACAGAGCGATGGTTAAAAGGAAATATAGTGGCACTGCATAATGGTTTAACAGCTGCAGTTGAAGTCAACGGACATACATTGCCACAACATTTTTCATATCTGCAGCATCGTCGTGTAGACAAAAACAAAGAAGATATAACAACTGATGATGATTACAATCTGACACTGTTTAAACCTCCCGAAACGAACTTAAAACACGTTGTAATCGAAGATCAAATTTCTCAAATAAATTTCCTGGACGACAACAAAGATGACAATAGTATGCATCGTGCTGATCAAAACTGTCCAACAAATTGAGACAAAGTTACAGCCTGTTTGGATCACTCGCTATGAAAGAAGAGTATTTCCTAACCGAAAGTATCACAATTATTTATAAGCTCTTTTTGAGCTGGGGGAGATGTTGTGATTTTAATGTGCATCAATAATTTGTCAATAATTAGCTTTGCTAAATATTGGCAAAAGTCACACGTTGCATATTTTTATTATTATAACGTTTTGTATAACGAACATTAATTGATGACAAGAATCACAAGTTGTATTTTTAAATGCTATTTATAGTGAACAATTTTTTTGTAAAAACGTTGATATATTTTTGATGGCTTCTAAAAACGTTGCACAACAGAAAGAGAAAAAGCAAAACTTCTCTTTTAGAACCCCTCTTTTAAAACTTTTTTAAAGGAATTTCCTCCCAACAATGTTGTAAGTAATTGCTATTTAGGTTAGGAGTTAACAGAATGCAAAGAAAAGATTTGAAGTGCAAGAAAACAGTTGACGGAAGACTTGAAAAACTGTAAATTGTTTGAGTCAAGTATACGTAAATTGTTTGAGTCAAGTATACATTCCAAAACACTAGTGTTTGAGGGAAAAAAATTTAAGAATAAATGTTTTTTGAAAAGAAAGAGTTTCAGTAAATAGATGTGACTTTGCTGAAAGTCATGCATGGTTATGTTTTGGTCAATGAGACAAGTGATGATACCTTGAACAGCAATCATGAAATACTTGTAAAAAAAAAAAAAAAAACAGATGCAATCTTACAACAATGAGACAGTTTACAAAATTTAGAGCAGATCTAGTAACATAACCAATGCAATTTTCAACCTTTCCTAAAAGCAAAAAGAGCTCATTAGATGGACCAGCCCAAATATGACAACATTAGTTTAAACATATTTGTTTATTTGATTCAAAATAAATAAGCAATAAAAAACATAAAAATCTTTGATAAACTTTTTTAAAAAACGTAAACATCTTTAATAAAATTTTTTTTACATTCTTATATATTTTAATTTTACTATTACTATTTTGATAGTGGAATATTGTTTAAAAAATAAATAAAAAATCTGTTTTATTTGTTAAAAGTTATTTATAATTTATATAATTTTTGATTTATAAAATTTTGTTTATTGCATGTTTTTGATCAGCTTCGAGTGCTACTAAAGAATTAGATGATCTTATGGCATCTCTTTCTGACTTTAAAGTCAATATTCCAGCTAGTGGAAACACTGTTGTGGTTGAGCAATCTCGCATGGAACGTACTGAAACTGAAAAGTTGCCCTCACCCCCAAATGATGAAGTTGACTATGCAAGTATTGACAAAAAACCTAAAAAACCTCGTAAGTATTCTTTTGTAATTATTGATAATACTTAACTAAAAATATTATTGTAGCCTAAAGTATGAATTCAAGTAAAAGATTTTTTTCACTTTTAATGATTTATGACTTTGTTATTATAGATATTCAGCTGATTATAGATATTCAGCTTATTATAGATATTCAGCTGATTATAGATATTCAGCTGATTATAGATATTCAGCTTATTATAGATATTCAGCTGATTATAGATATTCAGCTGATTATAGATATTCAGCTGATTATAGATATTCAGCTGATAATAGATATTCAGCTGATAATAAATATTTAGCTGATTATAGATGTTCAGCTGATTATAGATGTTCAGCTGATTATAGATATTCAGCTGATTATAGATATTCAGCTGTTTAGCCAGTGCTTTCATGCTCCAGCCTTTTTTGCGCTTGCCCACACTCCCATAAAAACTTTGGCAAGCGCATAAAAAAGCACTTGCTGAAAAACAACAAACAATTTTTTAAAATTACATTATTTAAATAAATCGTTTTTATTTTAATTTCTTATTTAGATCTTATTTAGAATTTAAATAAGATGATCATTTTGCCGTTCTTAATTGTTCATTTTGCCGTTCTTAATGTAATTATTTAGAAATTAAATTTTAAAGTTGTTTTTTTTTGTTGCTGTTTTTTTTAATTATTTTTATAATCTAGAATTTAAAATAAACATTCACTTTGCCTTTAAAATTGTTTTATTTAGGATTTAAATAAAACATTTGTCTTTTCGTTTTTATTTTAGTTATTTTGTTTAATATTTATATAAAACATTTTTTATTTATAATTTTTTCTGTCAATTTTTTTAAAATTATTTTACCCGTAAAATATGGGTCTTGATAAATCTATTCTACACTGACCTTTACTTATTCCTTCTTTAATATTTTTTAGAAAGTTGTAGAAAAATAAATATATACATATAGAAAAAATATACTTGCTTACTTTTTAAAGCTATGAAAAAAAAGCAGATTATTAAGACTCTTGCCCCATTAATTATGAAGAAAGTTTCCATGTAAAGTCTTTTTTCTATAAGAAAGAAAGTTGTCTCTTTAATGTGGGTTAACGTGCAGACTTAATTAATTACTTAAGCACATTAATAACATAAATATCTCTATCGTGGCATATGCATAACAAATTTCTAATGGTGTTTTTATGTTTTTAGAAATTTTAAAAAGATTTTTAAAAAATTCTTTCCCATTCGTTTGTTAAAGTATATAATATCTTTATATATGTTATGCATATAATATCTATATACCTTTAAAAATGTTTTACTTTGTATTCTAGAAAATTAGAAAAGATTAAAAAAAAATTAAGTGTGTAAGCAAAATGGAGCAAAGTACTTCATGCAAAGCATTTCAACCACTTTTCACTTTTGCATGCTATTCAACCACTTTTGCATGCTATATCATCTTTTACCACTGTTTAATAAAAAAAAAACTTATTAAATATTATAAAATGGCATATAAATGCTATAAAAATGAAAATAAGGAGATATTGACACAATCAAAATTTTAAATAAAAGTAAATCTGTAAAATTTGATATAATTTTCAATAATTAACATAACTTAACTTAAAATTTGATATAATTTTTGATAATTAACATGGCTTGAAGTTTAGATGTTACAAATTTGTATCGTTCACATTGATAAAGTACCAATCATTAAGAATTGTTTCAAAAAAATGCCTAATAGAGCTTTTGAAAATAAAAAATATTTTTATTTTCACTTTAATTAACAAAACTTAATAATTTTCAATAGTTTTCAATTGTGGCTATTGAACAGACACGTCATGTCATCTGACTAATCTAAAAAATGTAATCGAATTAAAAAAAGGAAAAAATACACCACACGTATTAACTGGAAGTCAACTTATTTATACATAATAACACAACAAAATATACAAAAAAAAATCAACTTTATCTATTATTGTCATTTAACAATTAACTAACTACAAAAATACTAATATAGATGTAGCGTATTATCCCACCGCTCCTTCTTCTCATTGTTTACTTTCTACAGGATCCACACTCCCTAATAATAGTAATTAAAAAAAAGAGGGTGGGGGGAGGTTGATCTCTTGCCCTAAATTTGCTCATTGTGAGATGTGGGCTCTCTATTTGATCTGCAATATACTAAAAAAGCATTAAAAGTTATATCTAAAATGAAAAAAATAATAATAATGATATGAAAAAAGAAGTAAAAAAATAAGATATTAATACTAGAAATCAATTTACCTGATGCTGCTGTTGACGATGCTGCTGATGATGATGCTGCTGATGATGATGCTGCTGTTGGCGATGCTGCTGATGATGATGCTGCTGATGATGCTGCTGCTGATGATGATGCTGCTGATGATGATGCTGATGATGCTGCTGCTGATGATGCTGCTGCTGATGCTGTTGATGCTGCTGCTGATGATGATGCTGCTGCTGATGCTGCTGTTGATGCTGCTGTTGATGCTGCTGTTGATGCTGCTGTTGATGCTGCTGCTGATGATGATGCTGATGTTCTTTCTACATAATTGTTAAAAACAATCAAAATCTGAAATAAAATTGAATGCAAAGACACAAAATAAAAAAAAAACATAAAAGCTATCAGTGTAAACAAATTTTGTAATTTGATTAAAGAATAAAATTATTCTTACCTTGATTGCAACAAACTAATTTCTTTTTAAACTAATAGCTATATTCTTAATAATAACTATAATTCTTAATAAACTAATGATCAACATAGTAAATTTTCAATAATTAAAGTTTACTAAGTTTAAACCATATTTTAACAGAAGACAAAGTGAACTTATTATATTTGGTAGTGCATTAAAATAAAAAGTAAAAAAAAAGTATTATATAAAGTAAAAGTATAAAAACTAAAGAAATAAAAAAACAACTAAATTTTCAATGTTTTGTTAATACCTAATATTTGCAGTTAAACATAAAAAAATCCTGAGATAATAAAGGTAAAGTTATAAAAATAAACAAAAATAAAAAAAAAGAATTTAGTAAAATGTTTATTTTTATAAAGTATGATCTTATTTATCAATGTTTTCTTGAATCAAAACAAACAAAATAATTAAAAAAAAAGAGTTTAATGAAATGTTTATTTTTATAAAAAATCTAATCCTTTTAATTAAAAACATTAATGTTTTCATAAAAAGATAAGGACATATCGTCGCAGCAGTAAATCACCAGAACATGCAAAATATAAAATTTTAATATTTCACATGTTCTGCTAACTAAAATTTTTATGGTGTTTAGTGTAAAAACAGAATGTTTATCTTTTCAAAAAAAAAAAATTTAATAAACATAACTTAGTATTAAAAAAAAGAAACAATATTGGTTTTTTTTACAAATTTATTTATTTACAAACAATATTTAACAAAAACGATCAATAAAAATATTAAACTAAAAACATTTAAAAACATCTTCGATTTGTAGATATAGTTAAGTATTTTCCCCTGCCCACTCCAAGTCCACCCACTTCACTTTCGGAAAGAGTAACCTCTTCCCCTTTAATGAAACGAGGGGAAATCTTTTCCCCTATTATGGGCCCACACCCTGTGTGCACTATTGGGTGTGGGTCCTTATTAGCATCTCAATATTATATCTAGGGCTGTGGAGTTGGAGTCGGAGTTGCGGAGTTATTACATTTTTAGAGGAGTCGGAGTAAGAGTCGCTAAACAAAATCGCGACTCTGACTCCTATAGTAAAACTTCTTGGTATTGCACGTGCATGTACAAAACATTCAATCAACCTTATATTTATACTTAACCTCAAAGAACGTTTCATAAATTTGTTAAAAAATTTTTTTTAACATGTTGCGTAATATTTTTTAAAGAATTCAAAGATTTTTTCAAAAGTTTTGCTTTGGAGTTGGAATCAGTATATTTTAGTTTCATACTTAATTTTAAAACCTACAAATTATTTATTTACCAGTTACAGATAAGGGTGGTGCAGCAGCTATTGTTGCTGGGATAGTTACAACTTTATTGGTTATAATAAATATCAAAAATGTACAGATAATCAAGTTAAAAAATAAATACAAACAGGTTAAAACAGTTGTTAACTTTATTACCTTAATATTAGGTATTTTTAACTTTTTATTATTATTAACAATTATAAACTTAACAAAATAGTTTATTTTAAATATAAAATTAAAATTTTTCAATTATGTTCTTAATAAAAACATATTTTTAAACCTTCCTCCTGTTTAAAAAAAATTAAGGTCGCCAAGTTCAAATCATCAGCTTGCTTTTTTTCAAGTTTTTGTTATTCAAAATGCAAAGCAAAACTTTCTTTTTTTCAAAACAAACTTCTTTCTTCAAAAACGTTTTTATTTGTATTTTAGAAAAATTGAAAAAGATAAAATTGAAAAAAAAAAAAAAAAAAAAAACCCTGAACTTTTTTTGCATTTGGAGCCCTGCGTGCTTACCACTCAGCCATGCAAGCGCATTGTCTAGAGAAAATTTTAAAACTATATTAGGGGCTATTCTAGATAGTTTTCGACAGCCTCAACCATATTTATATACGCTGCCTAAATGAAAATTTAAGTACTTTTTTTTTCCTCATGTTTTTTGCAACAAAATTTTTTTCGCAAAAAAATGTTGTTTGCAAAAATTGCCAATTTTCCGCTAAATTTCCCCAGGATGGGAGGGGTATCGCTGCCCAAGTTTATTTCCTAGAACAGCCCCTGTATATAACAAATAAAAGATTTTTTGAAATTAGTACTATAGATCAAATCTTGAGGAAATGTTGCGGCGATGCAATTAAAAGTAAAAGTAAAACAATAAAACTTGATGTTTTAGTATGTTTTTAACTTAATTTGTTTTTTATTATTTTATTTTTACGTACATCAACGGACAAATAGGTGAAACATGCAAAGAGTGCTGCTACATTGACTGACAAATTATAGTTATATTTTTTACTTTTTTACATTTTTAATTTTTTGAAAAAGTATATATAAAAATTTACTTTTTCTCAAA